CGGCGCGAGCGGAGACGCTGCCGGGAAGAATGAACAGCGGGGGGGGGGGGGGATACCGAGGAAGAGCACGCTTTGAGGCACGGCAGCGAGGAAGCGGAGGCGGAGGCGGCGACCGCTGTGACCGGTTTCGAGCACGGGGGGGCTGGGGAAAGGAGGAGGTGGGAGGAGGAGGAGGAGGAGGAGGAGGAGGCCACCGCCGTTGTGTCTTCTCCTACTGCGGAGCCCCCTCCTCCGGCCGGTTGGAACAATGATGGCGGGGATGACGAGCGGACGGTGAGTAACGGGGGGCATGAGAATTCCCACTGTTGTTTTGCTTGTGGAGGTTCTGTGGTGTAGAGACTTTGAAAGCTTCGGGTGTGGACGGACACCAGCCTTTACCCCCGCCCCCGGTTTTTCTGAGCTAACAGGCAGGGAAAAGTGTGATGCCTGCAGCATGGCGGTAGGGCTCTTCCCCTTGTGGCCACCGTGTTTCAGGCTGTACTGGATATTGCTAGAAGCCTCGCACCCGCACGCTGATAGATCGGGCTCGTTTAACGCAAGGACTAGCATACCGGCAGTGTCTTTGCCGCGGCCACGAGCTCGAAACGGACACCGTTTTGCTTCGTGTCAGAGCATCACTCCTCATTGTACGCCCCGTTTCTCACTCCGTCCACCTACTACCAGGAGCGAGGTCGTGGCCAAAGCCCCGCCGGTCGCGAGACGGGCGGCCTTGACCGTCAACCATCGTCCCTCCGCTCGAGCATCCCCTTTCCCAGGGGTCCCGTGGGTGCGGAAGGCGGAGGTGGTGGGGGTAGACCCTCTCGCGGGACCGGGTCTAGTTTTCCTGTGCGCCCCCCCCCGACACGCCCGCGCAGGAAGTCCTCTCCCCCTGCCTCCCAGCATGGGAACCTCTTCGGCCTCGGCACTCTGCTGCAGCGGTCCGTCCAGGTGGGGTCAAGGCTAAGATTTGTGCTGTGCGCGTTGGGTCAGGGTGGGTGGGTCCTATTTCGTCTTGTCGTCTGGATTGAGACCATCTGTATCTTATTGATGTTACGGTCTCGTTACTCTGCAACACGCCTCTCTATACTATGTACTCTGGCTGCGTCGACTTTTTTTTTTTGTGGGCACCATGCGGCCGTGTACAGCGACTACTGTCGTAGCTCGTTTCCGTCATATTTGGCGTCGTCTGCTCACGTTATATGTCCACAACATGGTCGTGTCTGCATCGCCTGTCCTCGCTGTCTGTCCAGGCTGTGAACGACGCTCTGCAGCCCGGCGGGGGTGCAACGAGCGACGAGGATAGCTTGCCGGATGGCAACGATCCCAGAAGGTTGGCGGAGAACGCCTCAGGCGGTAGTGGGGGGGGTTACAGCACCGGGAACGAGGATGGGGCCGGGGTGAGTGAAGAGACGCATTTGCGATCCCGTTACAGTCTTTCTTTTGTCCTGTATTAAAATATTCTACTGCTGTGTGCTTGTTGCTCTCTTTTTTGTTTGTTTCCTGTGTTAATTTTCGTTGCCTCTTTTGTAATACTCCGTTCTGAGTGCTGATAGATGAGATGACGGCACATCTATTCTACCTCCAACCGGCTGGAATTTTACGTCCAACGTTAACGCCGCAGTACGGTACACCGCCGACCACGACAATCCGAAAACGCACACTTTTCCACTTCGATGTCTCGCATCCCCCCCCCCCCCCCTTCACCACCAGGCGGACGGCGGTACGACTAGCGACGCGGGAAAAGAAAGCTGGAGCGCGTCCTCGGACAGATCAAAAGTCGGCAACAGCCGGGGTGGCTCGGCTACCATGGCAGCGGCAAGTGGGGCGCGTGCGGATGGTGATGAAAGTGGCGCGTTGAGCGCGGAGGGGGGCGCGAGCGATGCCGGGGGTACCTCGGAGGGGGGGGGGGGGGGGGCCCGAAGGGGGGCCCCCGAAAGGGGAGGGGGGTTTGGAAAAGAGCAGG